TGAGCCCGTAGTGGACTTACCTGGCACAGGAGCGGGACAAGGAGCACGGGCTATGGTGAGCCCGTAGTGGACTTACCTGGCACAGGAGCGGGGCAAGTAGCACGGGCTATGGTGAGCCCGTAGTGGACTTACCTGGCACAGAAGCGGGGCAAGTAGCACGGGCTATGGTGATCCCGTAGCATCTTTCCCACCCTCGTAAGGTTATATACCGTCTCGTTCCCTTGACCGCCCTTCCTCACCTCTCTTGCCCCTCACACACCTTTCCGGTGGTTCCAAGGATCAATGTCTCCGCGGCCCGGTCTCCGGCCAGCCCTTCTGCTTGGTCGTTTGGTCAACCAGGCTGTTGGAGGCGGCTGCTCGCAGCCTGACGTATGAGTCACAGTCTGGTTGATCAGGTATCCTCGCACCACAACCTCAATCATAACGGGCCTCACGGCTGAGTGGACAGCACTCTGGGGTCGTAGTCCTAAGGGCCCGGGTTCGATCCCCGGTGGAGGCGGAAACAAATGGGCAGTTTCTTTCACCATGATGCCCCAGTTCACCTAGCAGTAAATATGTACCTGAGAGTTAGACAGCTGCTACGGGCTGCTTCCTGGGGGGGTATAACAAAAAGGAGGCCTGGTCGAGGACCGGGCCGCAGGGACGGTAAGCCCCGAAATCATCTCAAGGTAACCTCAAGGCAAGGCAAGGTAAGGTAGGCAAGGGGGGGGGGGGTGTCGGGGCAAGCTAACGTCTTGCTAATTTCTCGTTACTGAGGAAGGTGTTCCTGGCTAATGTATTTGTTCTTGTTTCAGGTACGTGATGACGGGGTCTGTGACGGGGTCTGTGACGGGGTCTGTGACGGGGTGGGTAAGACTGTCTGAGGCTCATGTGATAGCGTAAGTTACAATCTGTTGTTGGAAGCTCTGTAAAATGTTACGTCGTCTGTGACGTCACCTGATGCTGGGATTGGTCAGTTTTGTGTGACGTCACCTGATGCTGGGATTGGTCAGGCTTGTGTGACGTCACCTGATGCTGGGATTGGTCAGGCTTGTGTGACGTCACCTGATGCTGGGATTGGTCAGGCTTGTGTGACGTCACCTGATGCTGTGATTGGCCAGCCTTCTTCAATTCTACCTAATGTTTAGTACGTCCATGTTTATACTATATAATTTGGGATGGGACGGGGGGAAAGGAATGGTACCCAACCACTTGTGGACGGTCGGGGATTGAACGCCGACCTGCATGACGCTCTACCGTCGCTCTACCGTCCTACCTAGAGAGGGAACTGTCCCTCTATATGAAGAGGGAGTTGTTGGAATGGTGTAGAGGGTTGTAGAGGGGGGGGGGGAGGCTGGGGTGGACAAAGCTGGCACTCCTCTGGCTAAAGTGGTACACACCTGGGGGTGGGCCAGGTGTGGAGTGCCACCGGGACTTGTAGTGCCACGTCTCTGCCTCATATAGCCCTCGCGGGTGGTGGCAGCGGTTGGTCCTGCTCTCTCTGTCCACCTGTCCTCTCTCTCCTTCTCTCTCCCTGTCCTCTCTCTGTCTCTCCCTGTCCTCTCTCTGTCTCTCCCTGTCCCCTCTACCTCTCCCTGTCCCCTCTACCTCTCCCTGTCCCCTCTACCTCGTCCTCTCCCTGTCCACTTGTCTCCTCTCTCTAAGACGCTTGAAGACTGTGCGATGCACCTGAAGGATGTATGGCAACTTAGCGGGTTGCCAGGTTGCCAGTTTTATATCTCACTTCAATATAAAAGACAATACCATTCTTCCTGTCTCATTCCGGGCTATTCATGCCCGTGCCACCTCTTGGGTGGCTTAATCTTTATCAATCAATCAATCATCCTATCTAATTATTGTGTATATGTAGCAGGTGTTCTAAGTCTGTATTCTCTAGAGTGCAGGCAAGATACATAATATTCTACACGTGGACAAGATTTGATGAACTGCCTCCAAATCTGTACCCGGAAATAACATTGCATGAGATCTGGAGGCATGGCAGGATGTGCAGAATAGGCCCATTGATAAGCAGAGGTGCAATAGGTACGCTGAGGGAGACATGATCACCACATGCAAGATTCTCTAAGGAATTGATAAGAGTAGATAAAGACAGTTTATTTAATACGCATCAATGACACGGGTGGAAATTGAGTACCCAAATGACCCATACCGATATTAGACCTTTTTTTTTGTCAGAGTAGTTAACAATTGGGCAGTGATGTGGTGGAGGCTGACTCCATACACAGTTTCACATGTAGATATGATAGAGCCCAGTAGGCTCAGGAACCTGTACACCAGTTGATTGACAGTTGAGAGGCGGGACCCAAGAGCCAGAGCTCAACCACCGCAAGCACAACTAGGACAGTACACCGGCAAGCAACACAGCAAGCAGCAGCAACACAGCAAGCAGCAGCAACACACACAAGCAGCAGCAACACAGCAAGCAGCAGCAACACAGCAAGCAGCAGCAACACAGCAAGCAGCAGCAACACAGCAAGCAGCAGCAACACAGCAAGCAGCAGCAACACAGCAAGCAGCAGCAACACAGCAAGCAGCAGCAACACACAGCAAGCAGCAGCAACACACAGCAAGCAGCAGCAACACAGCAAGCAGCAGCAACACAGCAAGCAGCAGCAACACAGCAAGCAGCAGCAACACAAGATAACAACAATACTGGCAAGTAATTCAAGAGAGAGAACAGTGTGTGCTTGTGAGGGTGAAGGGTGTCACACGATATCATGAACAAATATACTGTTCTTGCTCGCTTTACACACACCCTTACCCCATCACCTACTGTGCACACACGCACGCACACGCCTCCACACACCAGCACACGCACGCACACGCCTCCACACACCAGCACACGCACGCACACGCCTCCACTCACCAGCACACGCACGCACACGCCTCCACTCACCAGCACACGCACGCACACGCCTCCACTCACCAGCACACGCACGCACACGCCTCCACTCACCAGCACACGCACGCACACGCCTCCACTCACCAGCACATGCACGCACACGCCTCCACTCACAAGCACACGCACGCACACGCCTCCACTCACAAGCACACGCCTCCACTCACAAGCACACGCCTCCACTCACAAGCACACGCCTCCACTCACAAGCACACGCCTCCACTCACAAGCACACGCCTCCACTCACAAGCACACGCCTCCACTCACAAGCACACGCCTCCACTCACAAGCACACGCCTCCACTCACAAGCACACGCCTCCACTCACAAGCACACGCCTCCACTCACAAGCCTCAACTCACAAGCGCGCACACGCACAAATGCACGCACGCTAACGAACAGAACGCAGAGTGTAATAGTCCACACAGTAAAATCCGAATCATCTACTGTGAAAAGCTCAGTCCCCCCCCCCCAAGGTACCGTGCTGGCTCCAGTACTTTTTCTATGCCTCATTAGAGAATGAGGTACCAATCCTGAACACAGGGTGGATTGCTGGTCCCAAGCCTGAACACTGGGTGGATTGCTGGTCCCAAGCCTGAACACAGGGTGGATTGCTGGTCCCAAGCCTGAACACAGGGTGGATTGCTGGTCCCAAGCCTGAACACAGGGTGGATTGCTGGTCCCAAGCCTGAACACAGGGTGGATTGCTGGTCCCAAGCCTGAACACAGGGTGGATTGCTGGTCCCAAGCCTGAACACTGGGTGGATTGCTGGTCCCAAGCCTGAACACAGGGTGGATTGCTGGTCCCAAGCCTGAACACAGGGTGGATTGCTGGTCCCAAGCCTGAACACAGGGTGGATTGCTGGTCCCAAGCCTGAACACTGGGTGGATTGCTGGTCCCAAGCCTGAACACAGGGTGGATTGCTGGTCCCAAGCCTGAACACAGGGTGGATTGCTGGTCCCAAGCCTGAACACTGGGTGGATTGCTGGTCCCAAGCCTGAACACAGGGTGGATTGCTGGTCCCAAGCCTGAACACTGGGTGGATTGCTGGTCCCAAGCCTGAACACTGGGTGGATTGCTGGTCCCAAGCCTGAACACTGGGTGGATTGCTGGTCCCAAGCCTGAACACTGGGTGGATTGCTGGTCCCAAGCCTGAACACTGGGTGGATTGCTGGTCCCAAGCCTGAACACTGGGTGGATTGCTGGTCCCAAGCCTGAACACTGGGTGGATTGCTGGTCCCAAGCCTGAACACAGGGTGGATTGCTGGTCCCAAGCCTGAACACAGGGTGGATTGCTGGTCCCAAGCCTGAACACAGGGTGGATTGCTGGTCCCAAACCTACACACAGGGTGGATTGCTGGTCCCAAACCTGCACACAGAAATAACACCACATGAGACCAGGAGGCATGGCAGGATGTGCAGAATACCCCCGTTGAAGAGCAGAGGTGCAACAGGTACTCTGAGAGAGAACTCTTCTAACTGGCTAGTTGTCTGACTGGTTAGATGTCTGACTAATTTGTCTGGTGAGATGGCTAACTGCCAGTTTCGTCATCTAGTGACTTGACTTGGCTCGCTGATTGACTGAGCAGTTGATTGTATGTAATTGATTGTATGTGATTGATTGTATGTGATTGATTGTATGTAAGGCAACTTTGGTGATTGTTGGGCTGTGGTGCTAAGTTGACTTACAGTCTAGTTATCTTTTGGTGGGTTGCTATATTTCTGTTGGGTGAGTGTTGGTTGGCCGCCTGGCTTGGGTCTTGTCATCCAGTTTGGTTATCTGGTTGGTTGACTGGATGGATGGCAGTCCAGCTCTCTTGTTAATTAACTGGATGTCACTTGTTGACTGGCGGCTGGCTGGCTCTCTCTCTTGTTGACTGGGGGATGGCTGGCTCGCTCTCTCTTGTTGACTGGGGGATGGCTGGCTCTCTCTCTCTTGTTGACTGGGGGATGGCTGGCTCTCTTTTGTTGACTGGGGGATGGCTGGCTCTCTTTTGTTGACTGGGGGCTGGCTGGCTCTCTCTCTCTTGTTGACTGGGGGATGGCTGGCTCTCTCTCTCTTGTTGACTGGGGGATGGCTGGCTCTCTCTCTCTTGTTGACTGGGGGATGGCTGGCTCTCTTTTGTTGACTGGGGGATGGCTGGCTCTTTTGTTGACTGGGGGCTGGCTGGCTCTCTCTCTTGTTGACTGGGGGATGGCTGGCTGGCTCTCTTGTCGACTGGCGGCTGGCTGGCTCTCTCTCTCTTGTTGACTGGGGGCTGGCTGGCTCTCTCTCTCTTGTTGACTGGGGGATGGCTGGCTCTTTTGTTGACTGGGGGCTGGCTGGCTCTCTCTCTTGTTGACTGGTGGCTGACTGGCTGGCTCTCTTGTCGACTGGCGGCTGGCTGGCTCTCTCTCTCTTGTTGACTGGGGGCTGGCTGGCTCTCTCTTGTTGACTGGGGGCTGGCTGGCTCTCTCTTGTTGACTGGGGGCTGGCTGGCTCTCTCTTGTTGACTGGGGGCTGGATGGCTCTCTCGTGTTGACTGGGGGCTGGCTGGCTCTCTCTTGTTGACTGGGGGCTGGCTGGCTCTCTTGTTGACTGGGGGCTGGCTCTCTCTTGTTGACTGGGGCTGGCTCTCTCTTGTTGACTGGGGGCTGGCTGGCTCTCTTGTTGACTGGGGGTTGGCTCTCTTGTTGACTGGGGGTGGCGCTCTCTTGTTGACTGGGGGCTGGCTCTCTCTTGTTGACTGGGGGCTGGCTCTCTCTTGTTGACTGGGGCTGGCTCTCTCTTGTTGACTGGGGGCTGGCTCTCTCTTGTTGACTGGGGGATGGCTCTCTCTTGTTGACTGGGGGCTGGCTCTCTCTTGTTGACTGGGGGCTGGCTCTCTCTTGTTGACTGGGGGATGGCTCTCTCTTGTTGACTGGGGGCTGGCTCTCTCTTGTTGACTGGGGGATGGCTCTCTCTTGTTGACTGGGGGCTGGCTCTCTCTTGTTGAATGGGGGATGGCTCTCTCTTGTTGACTGGGGGCTGGCTCTCTCTTGTTGACTGGGGGCTGGCTCTCTCTTGTTGACTGGGGGATGGCTCTCTCTTGTTGACTGGGGGTTGGCTCTCTTGTTGACTGGGGGTGGCGCTCTCTTGTTGACTGGGGGCTGGCTCTCTCTTGTTGACTGGGGGCTGGCTCTCTCTTGTTGACTGGGGGATGGCTCTCTCTTGTTGACTGGGGGCTGGCTCTCTCTTGTTGACTGGGGGATGGCTCTCTCTTGTTGACTGGGGGCTGACTGGCTCTCTTGTTGACTGGGGGCTGACTGGCTCTCTTGTTGACTGGGGGCTGGCTGGCTCTCTCTTGTTGACTGGGGGCTGACTGGCTCTCTCTTGTTGACTGGGGGCTGACTGGCTCTCTCTTGTTGACTGGGGGCTGACTGGCTCTCTTGTTGACTGGGGGCTGGCTGGCTCTCTCTTGTTGACTGGGGGCTGGCTGGCTCTCTCTTGTTGACTGGGGGCTGGCTGGCTCTCTCTTGTTGACTGGGGGCTGGCTGGCTCTCTTGTTGACTAGGGGCTGACTGGCTCTCTCTTGTTGACTGGGGGCTGGCTGGCTCTCTCTTGTTGACTGGGGGCTGGCTGGCTCTCTCTTGTTGACTGGGGGCTGACTGGCTCTCTCTTGTTGACTGGGGGCTGGCTGGCTCTCTTGTTGACTGGGGGCTGGCTGGCTCTCTCTTGTTGACTGGGGGCTGACTGTCTCTCTCTTGTTGACTGGGGGCTGACTGTCTCTCTCTTGTTGACTGGGGGCTGGCTGGCTCTCTCTTGTTGACTGGGGGCTGACTGGCTCTCTTGTTGACTGGGGGCTGGCTGGCTCTCTCTTGTTGACTGGGGGCTGGCTGGCTCTCTCTTGTTGACTGGGGGCTGGCTGGCGCTCTCTTGTTGACTGGGGGCTGGCTGGCGCTCTCTTGTTGACTGGGGGCTGGCTGGCTCTCTCTTGTTGACTGGGGGCTGGCTGGCTCTCTCTTGTTGACTGGGGGCTGGCTGGCACTCTCTTGTTGACTGGGGGCTGGCTGGCACTCTCTTGTTGACTGGGGGCTGGCTGGCTCTCTCTTGTTGACTGGGGGCTGGCTGGCTCTCTCTTGTTGACTGGGGGCTGGCTGGCGCTCTCTTGTTGACTGGGGGCTGGCTGGCGCTCTCTTGTTGACTGGGGGCTGGCTGGCTCTCTCTTGTTGACTGGGGGCTGGCTGGCACTCTCTTGTTGACTGGGGGCTGGCTGGCTCTCTCTTGTTGACTGGGGGCTGGCTGGCGCTCTCTTGTTGACTGGGGGCTGGCTGGCTCTCTCTTGTTGACTGGGGGCTGGCTGGCACTCTCTTGTTGACTGGGGGCTGGCTGGCTCTCTCTTGTTGACTGGGGGCTGGCTGGCGCTCTCTTGTTGACTGGGGGCTGGCTGGCGCTCTCTTGTTGACTGGGGGCTGGCTGGCTCTCTCTTGTTGACTGGGGGCTGGCTGGCACTCTCTTGTTGACTGGGGCTGGCTGGCTCTCTCTTGTTGACTGGGGGCTGACTGGCTCTCTCTTGTTGACTGGGGGCTGGCTGGCTCTCTCTTGTTGACTGGGGGCTGGCTGGCTCTCTCTTGTTGACTGGGGGCTGGCTGGCTCTCTCTTGTTGACTGGGGGCTGACTGTCTCTTGTTGACTGGGGGCTGACTGGCTCTCTCTTGTTGACTGGGGGCTGACTGGCTCTCTCTTGTTGACTGGGGCTGACTGGCTCTCTCTTGTTGACTGGGGGCTGACTGTCTCTTGTTGACTGGGGGCTGACTGGCTCTCTCTTGTTGACTGGGGGCTGACTGGCTCTCTCTTGTTGACTGGGGCTGACTGGCTCTCTCTTGTTGACTGGGGGCTGACTGGCGCTCTCTTGTTGACTGGGGGCTGACTGGCTCTCTCTTGTTGACTGGGGGCTGACTGGCTCTCTCTTGTTGACTGGGGGCTGACTGGCTCTCTCTTGTTGACTGGGGCTGGCTGGCTCTCTCTTGTTGACTGGGGGCTGGCTGGCTCTCTCTTGTTGACTGGGGGCTGGCTGGCTCTCTCTTGTTGACTGGGGGCTGGCTGGCTCTCTCTTGTTGACTGGGGGCTGGCTGGCTCTCTCTTGTTGACTGGGGTCTGGCTGGCTCTCTCTTGTTGACTGGGGCTGGCTCTCTCTTGTTGACTGGGGGCTGACTGGCTCTCTCTTGTTGACTGGGGGCTGGCTGGCTCTCTCTTGTTGACTGGGGGCTGGCTGGCTCTCTCTTGTTGACTGGGGGCTGGCTGGCTCTCTCTTGTTGACTGGGGGCTGGCTGGCTCTCTCTTGTTGACTGGGGGCTGACTGGCTCTCTCTTGTTGACTGGGGGCTGGCTCTCTTGTTGACTGGGGCTGACTGGCTCTCTCTTGTTGACTGGGGGCTGGCTGGCTCTCTCTTGTTGACTGGGGGCTGGCTGGCTCTCTCTTGTTGACTGGGGGCTGACTGGCTCTCTCTTGTTGACTGGGGGCTGACTGGCTCTCTCTTGTTGACTGGGGGCTGGCTGGCTCTCTCTTGTTGACTGGGGGCTGGCTGGCTCTCTCTTGTTGACTGGGGGCTGGCTGGCTCTCTTGTTGACTGGGGGCTGGCTGGCTCTCTCTTGTTGACTGGGGCTGGCTCTTATTGACTAGCGGCCTACTCCAATCTAACATATTTGAAGTGGCAATAAAAACGCTCCCTGGCACTTGCACAAATTGCAAAGTTGACGGCAGGACTGGAGGGCGGTGCAGGTCACTACTCCTAGTGCAGGCTGGCGCTAGTGCAGGCTGGCGCTAGTGCAGGCTGGCGCTAGTGCAGGCTGGCGCTAGTGCAGGCTGGCGCTAGTGCAGGCCGGCGCTAGTGCAGGCCGGCGCTAGTGCAGGCCGGCGCTAGTGCAGGCCGGCGCTAGTGCAGGCCGGCGCTAGTGCAGGCTGGCGCTAGTGCAGGCTGGCGCTAGTGCAGGCTGGCGCTAGTGCAGGCCGGCGCTAGTGCAGGCCGGCGCTAGTGCAGGCCGGCGCTAGTGCAGGCCGGCGCTAGTGCAGACCGGCGCTAGTGCAGGCCGGCGCTAGTGCAGGCTGGCGCTAGTGCAGGCCGGCGCGGGGGACACTGAAAAGTAACGTTGATTGAACGTTATCATCGCTGAATTAATGTTGATGAAACGTTGAATGTCACTGTTGGAGGAGGTTGGTCACAGGCTAACATAAGAACAAAGGTAACTGCAGGCGGCCTATTGGCCCATACGAGGCAGCTCCTATGCAGACGAGGAGTCACAATAACGTGGCTAAAGTATGTTGATCAGACCACACACTAGAAGGTGAACATGTGCTTGTCTCCCCTCACTAAACATACTAGTTTACCTTGAAAAGCTTCATAGAAAACACCGACCTCACCTAACCTTCTTAGTATATTAAGATAATCCCCCTTCCCCACGTTGACCAGAGAGTGCACAATGTGTCTCACTTCCTAACTAATGTGCAGCCGGTCCGCCGAGCGGACAGCACGCTGGGCTCGTGATCCTGTGGTCCCGGGTTCGATCCCAGGCGCCGGCGAGAAACAATGGGCAGATCTTCTTTCACCCTATGCCCCTGTTACCTAGCAGTAAAATAGGTACCTGGGTGTTAGTCAGCTGTCACGGGCTGCTTCCTGGGGGTGGAGGCCTGGTCGAGGACCGGGCCGCGGAGACACTAAAGCCCCGAAATCATCTCAAGATAACCTCTCAAGATTGATGGCCTATGCGTCAACCAGGAGATACAGATGCGTCTAAATGCTTACTGATTGTTTCAAACGTGGCTTGGACATGTATATGAGTGGGATTGTGGGTGATTATAGATAGGAGCTGCCTCGTATAGGCCAATAGGCCTTCTGCAGTTTCCTTTATTCTTATGTTGTAATAAATCCTGGCTCTTAGGCTTATACTGCTCTTTATCCTGCTGCCAAGAGTTTTAAGAAATATCGCTGAATTAAGACTAGAATCTCTAGAGAGAGAGAGAACTTGAAAAATCCTGCTGCAGAGTGATCAACCAGGCTGTGATGGCTATGTGGGCCTGCGCAACCCGTTCTCGCACTTTCTTACAGTCAATATTGACTTATTAAATACGTGCATATGTGACATACTAAACATACTAGTTTACCTTGAAAAGCTTCATAGAAAACACCGACCTCACCTAACCTTCTTAGTATGTTAAGATAAGCATCTTATTGCTTCGTAATTACAATTATTACTTAACCTATACCTATAATAGGTATAGGTTAATATTACTTAATTACTATATAATTGCTATAATATTACTTAACCTATACCTATAATAGGTTAAGTAATAATTGTAATTACGAAGCAATAAGATGCTTATCTTAACATACTAAGAAGGTTAGGTAAGATCGGTGTTTTCTATGAAGCTTTTCAAGGTAAACTAGTATGTTTAGTATGTCACATATGCACGTATTTAATAAGTCAATATTGGCTATACGAAAGTGCGAGAACGGGTTGGCCTGCGGGCTATAAAGACAAAACAGCTTTCTAGGCCAGATAATTACTAGAAAGTCATCTAGAACTTATCTAGATATCTAGAAATAATCAAGATAAGAGAGAGCTGCCTCCCCCCAGCTCAGGTTGTGAAAGAACTATCGAAATCATTTATCGATATGAGAAAAATCGACAGAGACCGGGCCGCGGGGACCTTGACCCCCGGAATTACCGCAAGGTAACCGCAAGATAACATCAAGGTAGTAAGATAACCGCAAGATAGCAAGCTAGATAAGCAAGTATAGGTTTTCCACAGAGCCAATTGAAGGAGTTCTTTCAACGAGTAGCAGTCAGTTGTGTTCTTTGATATGGGGGTCTTTGGGGCGTTAATGTTCTCTGGTTGTTCATCCCTGGCTGTTCTTCCCCTGGCTGTTCTTTCCCTGGTTGTTCTTTCCCTGGTTGTTCTTTCCCTGGTTGTTCTTCCCTGACTGTTCTTTCCCTGGTTGTTCTTTCCCTGGCTGTTCTTTCCCTGGTTGTTCTTTCCCTGGCTGTTCTTCCCCTGGCTGTTCTTTCCCTGGCTGTTCTTTCCCTGGTTGTTCTTCCCCTGGCTGTTCTTTCCCTGGTTGTTCTTCCCCTGGTTGTTCTTTCCCTGGTTGTTCTTTCCCTGGTTGTTCTTCCCCTGGTTGTTCTTCCCCTGGTTGTTCTTTCCCTGGTTGTTCTTTCCCTGGTTGTTCTTCCCCTGGTTGTTCTTTCCCTGGTTGTTCTTTCCCTGGTTGTTCTTCCCTGGTTGTTCTTCCCTGGTTGTTCTTCCCTGGTTGTTCTTCCCTGGTTGTTCTTCCCTGGTTGTTCTTCCCTGGTTGTTCTTCCCTGGTTGTTCTTCCCTGGTTGTTCTTTCCCTGG